TTACAATTAATTAAGGTTTTTAGTTGAGATAAAAAAGTCAATGGCACGAGCGGGATTCGAACCCACGACCTTCGGCTAGATACGCCGCTGCTCTACGACTTGAGCTATATCCGCTAGGTCACTAACTTCCCATCTCAACCCCACCTTTTGAATTTTCCCTCCTTTTTGCCATTTTTCAAATGTCGTGTAATCGGATTGGATTCTCGGCGACAAATGAAATGGCCATGGAGAGCTTTTAGTGAAGTATACTTCATTTTTAATTAATTAAATTCACTTATTTCGTGGTCCGCTTGACCAATTAATATATTACAATTAATTAAGGTTTTTAGTTGAGATAAAAAAGGAAAAATGGCAAAAAGGAGGGGAAAAATTCAAAAGGTGTGGTTGAGATGGGAAGTTGGAGTCCGAGTGGATCGAGGTCACGATAGCTCAGGTGGTAGAGCAGCGGCGTATCTAGCCTAAGATCGTGGGTTCGAATCCCGTTCGTGCCATTGACTTTTTTATCTCAACTAAAAACCTTTATTAATTGTACTACAAGTTAAAATTAAAAAAAATCGTTCAAGTATAAAAGAGGATCTATTTCCAAGCCAATGAGTTAAACAATTCCATTGACCAACAATTATCAGTATTTAACTTGACTGCTGCGTTTGCACGGCGCTCATCACTGTAAGGTAAAGGTCCCGGGTTCGAATCTAGCGGCCCTGCGTTTAAACCCGACGTACTTACAAGTAGTCAAAAACATCGACTCCCCGAGGGTCGCTATGACTTCTGCTTTTGCGACAACCCTTAAAAAAAAACTTTTTTTATAATTTGGGTTATTTTCGTTCAATTTTCAATTCATGAGGTTTTATTCGCCCGTTAATTATTTCCCACCTTAACGGAACATAATCCTCGCTACCAGGTCAAACTTCCGACTGTGAAAATTGGTACTTTTCAGAAGAGCAAAAAAAAGCCTTTTAGTAGTGAATCCAAAATCTGTGCTTTGTCAAAACGAAAACAGTTTACGGATTACTTATTTATATAATATCAATATAAATTGAAAAATATGGGTGCCATTTGAATTTAAAAATTAGGGTATGAGTTCGGTAATACCCTGTACACAAATTACAGATATGATTACGTATTCAATTTTTACGTCGAAAATTCAGTGCTGTTACTATTTTTATAATTTTCTCCTAGCTATTCTTGATTTTGAAAAAGACAAAAAACAAAACAGGTGTGACATCATGTTTCAGATACTCTGTAGAAAAACGTTCATATTTCAGACATTATCAAAGGCTTTTCTAAGATTTTACAAGACATATCGTTGGAATACAAGAGCAAAGTATCAAAACTCATTTTTTACATTCGGAAGTTTGAAATGATAGTGACGAAGTGTTCTAATATATCAATAAGTATTTTATTAAGGAAAATTGAATAGAAAAAAATTCCACATGATTCCATAGATTTTCAAGTATCTTTTCTTAAAGGAATTTTTTTAATATAATAATTATTAATTAAGTTTCTTAACCTCATAAAATGATTCAATATGGCATTTTTCTTAAAATAAGTGGGATTAATAATTGTAATCCACTCGCTCAAAAAAAGGTGAGATAATTCATGTTTACTTACAGATTATGTCTGTAAATAATTAATTTATTCACTAAGTGGGTATTTTTATATTCAAAGTTGAGATAATGGTAGTGACGTTTTATCTCATCAAATGGGATATAAAAATGGCCAGTCGGAAGCCTAAGGACTCAGATCACAATCGACTTGTGAAAATGAACTCCAAATTGTAAAGCGAAATATTGTTTTATATTTATCACAGTAAGTTACATTTTTATCTTTATTTTGTTTTACAGCTTGCCGGTTCTCGCTCTTTTGGGCCTTTGCGCCTTTGGAAGTTCAGCAGAGTCTGAAAGTCCTTTCCCGTGGAAATTCGGCAAGTGCCTTGTCCCGCCCGTAGTGGAAGAATTTCAGGTCGAGAAGGTATGTCGGTGACTTTTAAATTTTTGTGATCGTAATAAAAAAAAAATTGCGGATTGTAGTTCTTCAATGGCCACTGGTACCAACAAGCTAGCTTCGGAGACTTCCTTTTCACGGCGAACGGCGTCTGCCCGACCAGGGAATATCAAGTTGTTGAAGATGAAGTCAGAGAACTTGACTACCATTACGAACAATGGTCCGTTTATGCCTTACGGTTTTTATTTGAATCAGGCTATCTTGTATTTGACACTCTTACTATTTAATAAATTTCAGGCTGGCCAAATACGTAACAGTTTACGGTAACAGCAAAACCAACTTCTTCAAGAAGGGCAAAGCTTACTTCCCAATGACTTACCACCTCCTAAACGGTAATATCTCATTTTTTAAAAAAAAATAGGATAATTATTTCGAACATTGCATTTTTAGGTTTAGTACAATACGTTGCACCCACGTACGTCGTTGCGACCGATTATGTCACTTGGGCTTTGGTTTACTCCTGCAAGCAAAACCTTTTCTTGAAAACCGGTAAATCCCATTATTACTTTTTTTAATAATAAAATCCTTTTAAACACACAATACACTCTTTTTTTTCCTTTTTTAAAGAAAGTGCCTGGTTGATGGCAAGGAGCAGGACCGGATGGAATGTCACTGCCGAAGTGAACAAGACTATGACAGACGCCGGGTTGAAATTGGCTGACTTCACCTTCGCCACAAACGTCGGATGCGGCCCGAACGAACCCCATCTCTAAGAAGAGACTTTAGAGTTTTCGTTTATAACAACCTTAACAACTGTTTGAAATTTGAAAATAAATGTTATGGTTTTTCAATAAAAGATCTTCCTATTTAAAAATGCTTTTTATAGCTTCAATTTACTTTTATCCCCTTTAATTATATAATCCTTGCTTCAGACAACTTGATGATCGTTTAGAAACAAAAAGCAACGTTAAAATAAAGTTAAACTTAAAACTTGAAACAGTTAAAAAAAAACCTATAAAGGAATAACTTTATAGAAATCAGTTGACAGAAATTTATAAATTTTATTTGGTTCATTGGACATCATCATTATTACTGTTGAAGTGTATAAGCTCAAATTGTTTATATTATATAATATAGAATCGTTCTTAGCAAATATAGAACTGTCAAGATCAATGATTAGCAAGTATTTACAATATAATTGATCTAGGAAAAATGACTGCTTTCTTTTTTTACTGGTTTTCAAATTTACTTAATTTTTTACTTGTTACTCTATTTTCTATCCCCTTTTCTTGTATATGATAAAAATATGAAACTATTGTAAAAATGCATGAGCAGAAAAGATTGGAATAAAACCAAAATAAGTGTTTACTGTATTCATCTGTTGGTTGTATCTTTGGATTGTCAAATAAGTAAGGACTCAAGCTGTTTTTATTTCTATTCCTCTTGCAGATAAACGTACTGAAGTGTATGATAAACCTACTGAAAATAAATTAATAATAACACTAGAACATTTTTTTTAAATCTTCAACTGACAAATTTGACTTGAAGATTTGATGAATTGCTATGAACGGTTTTATCATCTCTTCAACCTAATCTCGATCGTGAAAATGTCCTGCCTGTTGCGAATGTACTTTTCTGCACTTTGATCAACCCCAATTATCAAAATATGACCAATTAATCAAATGTTTTATTAAATTCTTCAGATAAAAAATACCGCGTGTTCATGAGTTTTTTAGTCGAATCCATAAAAATTGTTAAATTTTTCATTGAATTTTATTATTAAGTTCACGGTATTGCCTGCAGTTTTTATTTCCTTCTGTTCAGCCAAACACGGCTGTATTGCGTAACTGTATAACCAAGCCGCGTAAGGGGTTTTTCATTCACAAGCTACGAACTTGGGATCAACGATTTTAATGATACTTTTTTGCGACACAAAGTCGAAAAAATATTAAACATGTTCCCGAAAATTAATTCTTGTCATCGGGTTTTAGAAACACAGAAAAAAACTTTATCAGTAGATTTTTTTAAACCTGGATTGAGGAAATAATAAGCAGTATTAAATTAGAAAAAACATATATAAAAAGTTACAAAACCAAAAGGCCTTTCCAATAAAATAAATAATAATAAACAACTTTTGTATGACTTGATTTTAAGTAACTGATTACTTTTAAACATCCTTTAAAGCCTTTAAAAAAACAATATAAATAGAAACCAAAAGTAATTTTTTCTATTAAATCAGCACATCCAAAACCTAGCATCCCGACGAATCCCTATGCTTTTGTATTTTGTATGCTGACAGGCAAAACATTTCACCCACTTGTACATATAATTTGATTTGTATGTATTAATCAAAGGTTCACGTTTTTTAACGTTTAATAATTGAGTCTTTGTGTAAAAAAAGTAAAAAAAAAAATGTAAAACTTCAAGGAAAATAAAACCAAGACAGACAGATAAAATTTGTTGTAATTGTGTTTTAGATTTTTAATTAACATTTCAATATCGCGTATTTCCCCTACTTGCCATAATTACATCTCGAAGACGCCTCAGCATCAGTCCATACTGATTTAATCGTGCGTTCAGGTATTAGGACCTCGCACATCCTGGAGCTGATGAATCGTTTGAACAACGGTAAGGTGCCGGTTTCGCAAAATTCTCAAAGTCAAAAAACGATCCTGGGGTTTTGTGCGTACTAGGGCGTCCAGAACGGGGCCTTCTATAGTAGGACTCAGTTTCTCGAAAACGTCTAACGGCGTCTCGCAGTGTTTTGGAAGGAACTCCGATGGCAGTAGCCGCATACCTGATGGAACGTCCGTCATCAATAAGTGCCACACCTCACACAACATCCTCAGCACTAAGTGGCATTTTTAAGTTGAAAAACTAAAAATTAAAAAACAAAGATGAAAACTAAACCGTTTATTGCTTCAGAATTCAAATGATACTGAATAAACATTTTAAATTCCGTAAAAAGTAAACATTGAAAAATCTTTTATCCTGATTTCAGATTAAGGATTAAGTGTGTTTACCTCTAATTGATATTCCCAATTTAAAACATAGCATAAAATTATTTATTGGTAAAAACAATGAGACAAATTAAGGGCAGAATTTTCTTTTATACAGAAAATGAAAAAAAAAAAATCAATTGGGTGGAATTTTTGCCTGTCAGTGTATATACTTCCTTTCCCATTGTTACATGTTAACTATTTGAAGGTAGTTGTTATGTACTGCAAATTAAAAATTAAAAATTAACCGGGAGCAATTTTTTTTCGATCTCTTGTGTTCCGTTTAAAAGTTCATAATTGCAACCTTTAATTACGGAAACCTGCATTTTTCGAGTCGTTATCCACACCCTTTTATTTTTGTAAAACTATAGGGATCAAAATACTGATAAATTCAACAATATCGCCGCAAACGTTTTATTTTATATCAGACTATAATTGATTTACTGATACCTGGTTAGTTAATATCGCCAAAAAAAGTTTCATTACAATTGAAGTACGCACATCTGTAGACTCAAGTTGTTGTCTATATACAGAGTAATCTAGTAAATAGTGCTCTAATTCTAACACTCTGTAAACAAAGAATAATTAATTTAAGTTTAAACTTTTAAAGTTAATTTTTGAAAAATTTATCCAAAAACTTACCATACTCACTGGTCTATTGACAATCGAAAGAAACCTTTATGCGTTTCTTGTACTTGTATTTCTAAGTTTTTACGTATCAGATTTGGTTTTTACCGAGTATAATGGCACGAGTGGGATTCGAACCCACGAACTTCGGCTTGATACGCCGTTGCTTTACCACTCGGACACTAACTCATCTCAACCCCACCTTTTGAATTTTCCTCCTTTTTGCCATTTTTCAAATGTCGTGTAAACAATTTGATTCTCGGCGACAAATGAAATGGCCACGGAGAGCTTTAGTGAAGTATACTTCATTTTAAACTTACTAAATTCACTAGTTTCGTGGTACGCTTGACCAATTAATACATTACAACTAATTAAGGTTTTCAGTTCAGGTAAAAAAGTCAATGGCACGAGCGGGATTCGAACCCACAATTTTCGGCTTGATACGCCGCTGCTCTACCACTCGAGCTATCGTGACCTCGATCCACTCGGACACCAACCTCCCATCACAACCACACCTTTTGAATTTCCCCTCCTTTTTGCCATTTTTCTAGATATAATTGTCATGTTTCTTCTTTGTCCTACATGTATAAGTCTGTAAATTTTTGATTAATAATTTCCTCGAAAAGCGTATCTAATTTATAATAATCTGTTGAATTGTCAGGTAAAATCACTTCTGCCAACATTTAGCTGTTGACCTTATACTGACAAAAAGAATCCCCATTTTATTTTTTTAATAATTTTGAATTAATTTGGTGGTAAAAATATTTCAAATCTAGAAGTTGATTATTTATTTTTTGAAGTGGACACACCATTTATTTGTATGCCATTTATTCAAATTGTTAATGCATTAGCAATTGAAATAATTGGCATAAAAATAAATGGTGTGTTTAGTTCAAAAAATAAATAACCAACATTCCAGATTTGAAAAAATCCCCAGTTCTTTCCGTCAATATCTTAAAAGCGATCATCTTTCGTAGCATTAACAATTTGATAAGTATTTAATTTTTTTCAAGCTAAGTTTTTAAAATCTAAGCAGTAATATGTTTTTTTAACTTATGCTTTATGATCGTAATAGATTTGTTCTGGGGAAGCTTGAATTTTAAATTTTTCTCTTCAAATCAATGAAACTTTGGTGGTGTTTAATTGGCGTACTTTTTATATACGACTTCTGCTCTGATTGTTTCTATTCTATTTGATTCTCGGCGACAAATCCGATGGCCACGGAGAGCTGTCCTACATGTATTTGTTAAATTTAAACAATGTTTGTAAATCCCAGACCCTGAAGATGATCTCAATAAAGATCGAAACGAAAATGTTTTTCGAAAAGAAAGATAAAGAAAATGTTTTTCTAAAACCTACATCACACCAGACCGCACCTCACGATTTCTGAATAGTCATACAGCGTATAATTCATTTATATAGAATAGTTACTTAGAATCACCAAAAATAGTTTAATTATAATAAATGATCCTACGTTTATAGCCTGTCGTTAGTTCTTTAAAAAATGAACTGGTAAATAACAACAGATTCTTTTGACAATTGCTATCTAAAACCATACTCAACGGTCAACTGACAAGCGGAGGAGACTCTTTCTGCCTTTCTTGATCATGCGTTTCTATGTTGTTACATGTATATGTGACGAACCCATGTTACGGGACGTCACAATTTAGAATTTACCACACAACAAAATAGAACGGTAATACTGTACATACGGGGCGATAAAGCCCTAAGAAAAGGAGGGGCCAAATATAGGCCGTACAAAATAAACGTCGTAGGTTTAGATGTGATCTGCTCGCTAGTAACAACACTACTAGCGTTGTTAACCAGTAAAATATCAATACAAGAAAGTTCCAGTCTACGTGGTAAAGTCCTTTTCCTTAGTCTTAGCTGTTTATAAATATAACTTTGTAAAGAAGAAAATTTTTAGTTGCAAAACGTTTAATTTCATTATTCATTTACAATTAATTAAGGTTTTTAGTTGAGATAAAAAGTCAATGGCACGAGCGGGATTCGAACCCACGATCTTCGGCTAGATACGACGCTGCTCTACCACTTGAGCTATCGTGACCTCGATCCACTCGGACAATAACTTCCCATCTCAACCCCACCTTTTGAATTTTCCCTCCTTTTGCCATTTT